TAAACAAATATATGTATTAATAACAAGAAAGGTTACAAGTTACATGGACAGTTACATGGACAGAGTGCGTGTGGTGAATATTATGTGTGTGTTGTGTTGTGGTGAGTGTTCGTACGTACGTGTATTGTTCTTAGCGTGTTCCCAGCATTTGGGAAACGCTGTATTTGTGAGAGTTTATATCTACGTGTTGGTAAGGCTGAAGGCCTGAGGAAAAAGAGATTTACCTCAAGGTGGCGGCCCAAAGGCCTGAGGGAAAAAGAGGAAGAGGGGAAAGGTCAGCGAGTATTTATAGCCAGGGAAGAGTGACCCCTGGTGAAAGGGTTAAGGAGCTGAGGAGGAGCTAACTCCGACAATAGTGCCTGCTATTATAGGTTTTAGTTTTTGGTCAACTAGTGCTAGTATATTGACGTTATATTGCTTATTTCGCTCATGAGCTTATTTTTGCGTACTTTAGGTAGTCCATAAAGATTGCTTGTTTTACACCTAAAGTTGGTAAGATAGTCAAATTCGTTAGAAGTTAGACAGCTTCGGTATGGATATAGTAAATTAGTGAGTTATTTCATCACTTTATGATGTTGACAGCATCTGGCTTCACTTATTATGTTGACAGTATCGTCTTGTAGCATATTCAGTTTAATGTCTGCGTATCGTTTTGTATCCATAATAACAACTGAGTCTCCTCTATCAGTTAATATTTATTCTGTATCTTAATGTTATATATTAACGGCTTTTTTAAAAAGTCACTCATTTTTCTTCTTCTTTAATCACGACAAAAGTCAAATAAAGGAAAAACGTACCATGATTCATTATTTAAACATACACATTTCTTTCTTTCGTTTTTGGATCTGATGAAGCCTAGAAAGGCGAAACGCGTAATCAAATCTATTTTCAATGAAACATTTTCCATTTGTCAAATTTCTTAAAACATTTGTTGGGATTCTATATCCTATTTTAAACACACACACACACACACACACACACACACGCGCACACACACACACACACACACATATATATATATTGCTTAAACTTTATTTTTAGTTGATACTCGCATTTGAGAAGAAGACTCACTTTTTATTTATTAAGAAATACATGTATTTATTTTCGTCTACCGGTCTGAATATTCCAGAAGTTTTATTAGAGAAAAAATAATTCTCCGACAGGATTCGAATCTGCGTTCCCTTAGGGGAAACTGTCATTAGGTTTCATGTGATTTGTCCTCTCAGCTATAGAGTTCGTTGATGACCCAGTAAAACCGAATGGGACCTTTAACCACTGATTTTTTTTTGACGCTACATTATTGCTCAGTTTCGTATCCTAACGTAAAGAATGAAATTTGTAAAGAAATGGGTATTTTTTTTTTTATTAATCCGATAATTTTTTATTACTTAAACGTTATTTTTAGTGGATACTCGTATTTGAGTAGATGCTGCGTTTATTTATTAAACAGTATATTTATTTAGCTTCGACTACCGACTCACATTGCGTACACACAATTCTTAAACATGTTCTCTTCTATGGAAGGTCTTACCCGGAAGAACCACTCCTGAAGGTCGTCCTGATTTTATATGGATCACAGACCTTTTGTATGTTTTCCTATAATACCTTCACATATGGTTGGCAGACCGTGACTGTTTTCTGAGTGTTGTTATCCTCTTGTACCCTTCTATCCCAGTTTGTAGAACGTTCTATGGTATAGGGGGGTTGCTTTTCTAACTACTATTCCTTTTTATAGACGAAGGTTTAGAATAGAATTGAATACGTGTGCTATACCTTAATCTCTGTCGGCATAGGTGCCTATTTAAGTTTCACCAGACCTTTGCTGAGAAATCTTTTTCTTTGCCACCCCCCTTTACCTTCGAAAAAATATATTTTTTACAGCAAAGGTGTCATGGCGTCGACCTGCAAAAAGATATTTTTCCACATGCAAGGTATCATGGCGGCATGCAATAAAAACAAAGACATATATATATATATATATTTTTATACTATATTTATTACTAAATTACAATTAATATTGATGAAGTATAATAGGTATACAATTATTGAAAAAACATTTAAAAAAAAGGAAGTCACCTTCGAAACAGCGCCTTCGGTTAGAAAACTTTTTCTGCGCGGACGCGCGTTACATGTCTAGAAGCAACATTTCAATCTCCTCAGAGCAATATAAAAGTTTGTTTTTGTTATATGTCCATTTATCTCCCTTGCTTTGACGTGTATGTATTCGTTGAATGTTTTTTTTAATTTTTTTTTCTTCCTTTTCCTCTTCGCTTATTATAGTAACATTATTCTGTTCTTCGTAAATTGGTGAATTGCTTGGTGTCATGAATTCTTCTAAATTGTCTATTTTTGGTGTGTATCCTTCTGGTTGTATAATCCAGCACTGGTGCGCTTTTCTCATGTGCGTCACACAGTACTGACAGTTTTTGTTTGGGTCTATTCTACAACCCAGCGACGGTGGGCCGTCATTTAATTCTTTAGATAATTCTATTTCTCACCGTTTGTAGTTTCCTTTTTTTTGTGGGAGAGTATCGGTCAATGTCTTTATATTTATATTTTCTCGACTCCTTTGGTGGCGAGTATTTCTTTATTTCTTACGCCACGTAGTTTTTATCGTTGTATCGATCAATGTGTTTACGCCATATCGTAAGCCAGGTCTATTGCTCCCCACTCCTTTAGTTGCGGCATGGGTTGGTAAGTATGGAATATGAAGACTCTGTTGTTCATAGCCTCTTTTTCGCCCTGAACATGTCGCCACGGATCGTCGTTAGATGTCGATAATGACGGTGTTCTTCGTAACAGTCTTACATTTTGGTGTTTGACAAAATGCACTTACCCTCCTCAACGTTCTGTGGTGTAAACCATAGTTCGTCAGTGTAGATTAGTGTCTTGTCTACACAGCTACCGTACGTGAAATTGTCCGACGCCTGACACCGCATTCTCCCGCAGTTCATTAGACTGTTTCTAATGGATCGTAGTACGTAGCTTTTGCCACTATTTGACACACCGGTGATGTGCAGGCCGTTTATTTTCGCGCGTATTTTGTGGGACACCTCGAAAGTTTTTCTGCTAAATTCTTCTGAATCTATATTATGGTGCCTACACCAATCTTCGTAAATGTTGAGTGATGTTTGCACATCCCAGTACCTATTTCTTTCCATTTCGAAATAGTCTTTTTTTTGTCGAATCTGTTCCCATATTGGCGGAACCTTTGTCACAACATTCATATCTGATGCGGCCGCTTGTACGATGTTGTTTAGCTGCGCGTATTGCGAAAGATATGTTCCCAGTTTTCTTTTATCGTTACGTTGCTTGTGTTTTTGCAGTATATCATTATATTCGCTATGTCGGTCGAGTTGCATTTCTTCATCATTTTTATGATGAAGTCATACTTCTGGCCTCTTAAGGTATTATCATTTTTTGAAGCTACATATGAGCTTTTGTCGTCGTCGCCTTCTTCTTTTTCTGGAATCATCTTCTTAGTAATCGCCGATAGCATTTTCTTCATCCCTCCACTGTTGAGGTGATCCGCTGTTATCACGATCCTTTTTTCAGGTTCTTTTTGTAGATAACTTGCCAATCCGTATGGGTTATATATTTTTGGACAGTTTATGGTATACAGTCGTTCGGCCCTCTCTGATAGTATCCTTTTTAGTGTATTAAAGCTGTGTTCCGATGTCAGGTGAGCGTAATGCCACGTGATCATATGAAAATGATCTACACCTGAACAGTTTTTTCAGCTTGGACGGCGCGGCTTTGTGGTACACTATTATGTACGGTCTGTTGTCACAAATGTTTTTCAGGTATTTGTGACTCTCTTTGACTTTGAATTCTATCGCGTCACATGCCTTTCTTATGTAAGTTTCGTCTTCTTTTAGTATAAATTCTTGTTCATTTTCCTATCAGTAGATCCAAGTATAGGCAGCTATCTTTCTGCCCTCGTTGGTATCGTTTAAGACGGTGTTGTTAAAGTCGATCTTAACTGAAGGTTGAGTCGTCGATGATTCCATTTCGTTTATTCGTGTTGCAGTCTAGACGTATCGTTTCGTTTTCGCCGAAGTGTCAGTGTTTCTGTTGACGAATCCGCCTCTCTCCTCCTTTTTATAATCTTTAGGGTTCTTTGTCTACATAGCATAGATATCAAATATCAATGCCAGTCCCGACTTGTTCACAAAGTTACCATACGAGAATCCCAGTAGTTTTCCACTGTTCTCGTCTGCCCATATATGGGTACTGTGATTATGTATCATCCCCTTTAGGGTCTGCCCGTGAAAGTGATGATTTGGTTGGACGATATTATTAAGCTCGTAATTGGCTGATGTTGCCATTAGTGCGCATGTGTGATCGTTAATAGGCACTTTTTGCGGGTGTGAGATCGAGTCGTAGTAACATTCAATCTCTACCATATATATATTCGAAAACGAAGTACAACGTTCCCGTTGAGGAATTCGGCCTGAGGATGGGCGGTACGTGTATCAGTACCATTTCTGGTGCGTCTTCGTTTGTGTACAGAACCTTGTTTATTAAAGTTCTGTTACTGACTGTGAAGCTCCCCGATGTCTGTTCAAATCCCGGTTTTGTATCGTTAGTTTTCCTCGAACGCTGGTGATCAAACGCTATATCTGCTACTTCGGTGAATGTTAGATCTTCTTGCCTTTCGCTTCTCATACGTTTTCTCGCCTTCCCATGCTCCTGGTTCGACTCAGCTTCATGTGATAAAGTACCGTATTTCGGCGCTATGCTTACATCCAGTCCTGTGTCCCAGGCTGTGCTAATGCCACCGGTTATGCTGCTTGTTATTATCGACGGTTCGGCTACCATGGAACCCTGGACGTAATAGTTTTGTTGCATCATGACGTTAGTGATCGGCTTTCTTAGTAGGCTGTGATTATGCCAGACGTGTGTAAATGTGTCACCCTGTCTTATTTTTTTAATGATCGGCAACTCTCGCCAGTCGTGTAGCTTTATCATTCTTACGTCAGTTGACTGATTATCGGCTGTTATCGGGTTACCCTCACAGATTTTGTTGAGTGTATGGGCGCTCCGTAAATGTATTTGTATTTTGGTAATTCCGCATCGTTACCATTCATCAGCTGAATCTCTCGGAACCCTTTGTTTGGTACTTTTGTTATTCCTACTAGGTTTCCGTAACCGATGTACTGTCCGTGATCGACGTATACATCGAAGTACGGTTCCGGATTTGGCACAAACACCTCCTCGTTGTTCTTTGTTAGCCACTCACCGCATTCTACGTTGTCGATAGTGAATCCCTGTCTCTTCACTCTGTACGACGTTGCGTTTCTCAGGGTTGCTTCCCACTTTGGCACAGTCACCCAAGTTGTTAGAAAATAAGGTACAATGTAGTCGCCCGATTCCAGTTTCCCGTAACAGAAGTGACCTACGTTGTGTATCCCCTTATCGCTTCCCTGATATTTCACAAAATGTGCATTGATATTGTTCATATCAGTCGTCTTGACGATGTTTTTAAACTGTCGTTTCAATACGTACGATCTTATCTCGTTACCAGCCTCAGGCGGCAATGTCCCACCTATATTTGTACCTGACCATCCGTTGCCTCCGCCCGCGTCCGAGTCAGCCACCGTGGAAGCGTCTTGGTCCGCCATAACTTCCTCCCTGCCAGTGCTATCACCAGGATTAGTATGAACCAAGTCTGTATCTGGTCTGAAATAAGAGTCCAATCCAAGTGCTGACTTTGTTTTAAGAGCTTCTCTGCTAACCGCTCCGAGTATCCCTGTACCTTCTGAGTCTCTGTAAAATTGTTCATCCGACTCCTCCGTTGTCTTTTTAGGATCACCGTAGTTAAAGTCGTGCCGTTTCGCCGCCCAATCTAATTTGTTTAGCGCCGGTAAGTATTTTAACTCTTCAAGTTGTTTACCAGGTCCTAGGAAACGATGGTAGGGTACAGTGAATCCACGCGTTCGCCTTCTTCGACGTACCGGCGGCATACTGACTCCTGCTGATTATCCGCCCGATTTATATTGTTGACGTTGACTTAATATCCGCTCTATATGGCTTCACTTCCGGTACCTTTGAAAAATTTTCTGTCTTCAAAGGTATGGCGTTTTACTTATACAGGCACCTTACTTTTTAGTGACGGGCCCACGGGTATGACGTGACATTATTACGTCCTAATATCATAAGCGGTAGTTTATTTAATTGCATTACTCTGCCGGTGCAATGATATAGCACAAAGAAGCGACTCAAAGAGTATCACACAGTGTCTTGGCAGCTAACAATTGGCCTGGGAAGAATACCGTCTTTGTGAATTTTGTGAAGACCGTATGTGTGAAGTAGCTTGCTATAACGTTGTAATATATATATATATATATATATATATATATATATATATATATATATATATATATATATATATATATATATATATATATATATATATATATATATGGGAGTAGTGGTAGCGGCTCGGACTGAGGGCTCGGAGAGTCGAGTTCGAATTCAGTCGAATCCATTATGTTCACTTACGTGCTAATTCCCTTGGGAAAGGTATAAATTTTCTTTTCCAGCTATGGGTAATTAGCAGGACAGACGGGTTTTTATAGCCTTGGATGGCAACTGGTCTAGGAGAAGGACAACTCTGAATTTAAAAATTGCGGAAGGTTGTTTGAGGACCTTGTGGCACGTAATGCACCAGGTCTCTGTATTCAGTACTTCAAAACGTGTGGATGGTTTTGCACAAAACTTTCACTACTATAATCAAATCATATGTGCTGGTATCTGGCTGTCGTTTCCTAGAAACTGAGTTGCTGACCTACATATGTCGAATACGACGGGAGAGTCTACATATATATATATATATATATATATATATATATATATATATATAGAGAGAGAGAGAGAGAGAGAGACGCAAGAAAAACAAAATTTTTAATCAAAATTTCGAAGGCTCTAAATAGTACAAGATAGTACATCCAGGAATACTAGTTTGTTTTTTATTGTTTTCCTCTCTCGTTTGTGAACTGTATCGTTGGTCTTAATGAGTTCACGTGGTCCAGTAGTGGCTAGACTTCTTCCTGGTGTGGCCAGAATATGAAGGTGTCATCTACGTATCTCATCCACAGAAATGGCTTTAGAAATGCTGATTCTAATGCCATTTTTTCGAAGTATTCCATATATACGTTAGCCATTGCTGGTGATAATAGCGAACTCATTCCTAAGCCTTCATCCTGCCGGTATATCTGATCTCATTCAGAAGTATGTTGTTTGTGTATAGAAAATGTCAGCATTTCTAACAGGTTATCTATTGGTATACGCTTTGATCTTTCTCGTCAGTAATTCTATTGAAGAAGACTTTGCTCGTGCTAATACCCTTGGGAAAGGTATAAATTCTCTTTTCCAGCTGTGGGTAATTAGCAGGACAGGCGGGTTTTTATAGCCTTCAGCCTGCCGGTATATATTTAATACATAGTTAAATATAATTTAATGACAAAAACCCCTTTGGTCTTTCCTCTTAATAACAAAGATTTTGAAGTTTGAGGCATTTTTTCGTCCTGTCTTCTAATTCTTAGTGAGTCTTTGGCGGTATCTCTCTCTCCCTCCCTCTGTCTCACCCTCTTTCGATATAAGTGTGTGTTATGCGTGTGTGTCTGTATTTTCCACTTTGATTTATCCAAATTTTGTTAGGATTCTGTATCCTGCTAAAACACATACGTATATGTGTGTGAGTGTTTGTGTGTATGTGTGTGCTTGTGTGTATTTCGGCGTATGTAACCCTTGTATACGGAATACAGAAAATATGTAGATAAGGCTGAACACTTACACACACACACGCAAAAATACACGTACGTAGTGTAAGACGCATACATACTAAGGCACTGTACTGATGCGGCATTCACCCTGGGTGGATTGAGCCGGCTTCTTCCTGTTATGAGAAGAAGATTCTTGGGATAAATTACAGAAGTAGGGTACCCAGGCCTACTGAATAACGTTCTTGCTTGCCATGGGATTCCTACAGACGCAGAGATGGTGGAACGACCAGAAGCCGCCGGTTACCGATGCAGACGCTCCTTGGATTTACACCAGAGCCCTTGACCCAGCCGGCATGTGTGTCAGACCTGTCCGCCTTGGGTGGCCCTACCGGAACGAAGTTCCGGCGGCATAGCTCTGACACTACCTTTTACACCCCCACCGACTGTGAGGTAAGGGTTGGACTTTGGGGCTTACAGTACCAGGTGTTCCCAAGCGGTCCCCCATCTAAGTACTGACCTGGCTCACGATGCTTAACTTCGGTGATCGAACGAGAACCGGTGTTTCAGCGTGATTTAACCGTAAGCATACATTTTTAATTATTTTCCCCCCTGCCATATACCGCCGTTTTGTATCTTTTCTCAACCCGTCTGCATTTCCATTGTCGTACCCTTTCAAAATTTCTGCTACCACCTAACGTTTCTCTTTTGATACCATACTAAATTGCTGACTTTTCATTGAGCAGCAACTGAATACAGAAACTTGCCCAACTCCTTTGCATCCCCCCACTCACTAAATTCTTCTCCCTCTCTTTCTCTCCTTCTCTCTCGCTCTCTTTTATGATGCCATTATTCCGGATTTAATCCATATTTGTGCCAATCTATCTATCTATCTATCTATCTATCTATCTATCTATCTATCTATCTAATTATTTTCATATCGATGTTTCTCTATATCCACCCCAGTCTCTTCACATCTATCTATCTATCTATCTATCTATCTATCTATCTATCTATCTATCTATCTATCTATCTATTTGTGTGTGCGTGTGTGCGTGTGCGTGCGTGCGTGCGTGCGTGTGCATATGAACTTTCTGCGTTAAATTTGTATGTTTTCCTATCAGAATTTGATCATTGAATGATGCGCATAAGAATAGACAAACATTTATTCCTACTCCTGTAATGTGCTCACAATCTGCGAATATTCAATCTTATATAAACATAGTTACGTATATATATATATATATATATATATATATATTATATATATATAGTTACGAATAAAATATATATATATATAAATATATATATAGTTACGAATATATATATATATATATATAATTACGAATATATATATATATATATATACACACATATATACATAGTTACATATATATATATGTGCATAGTTATGTGTATATATATATATATATATATATATATTTACATATATATCCATATTTACGTATATATATATATATATATATATATATATATATATATATATATATATATATATATGTATATATGCATATATATATGTATATATATGTATGTATATATATATATATATATATATATATATATATATATATATATATATATATATATATATATATTATGCATACACTGCGTTTCTCCTCCGTTTATGTCCAAATTTTTAGCCTGATATATCCTAGCATTACGTGTCTGCAGTATACAATACCTTGCAGATTCATACATCATATGCACGGAACTGTCCAAGACTTAAATGTATATTCAAATGAGTCGAAAATAAAGTAGTAAAAAAAGCAAAGAAAAGAAATAGCATCTTTATAAGACATTTAGAAAATCCTTACACGTCTTTTACTTCGATTTCTTCCCCTTCCAGCAAAACTTTATTTTGTATATATTTTCCTATATTTCATTTATTTCTGAATATATATATTTTTTATCAACGTCAGATTCTCCAGTCATATTGTCAATATTCTGCATTTTTTAAACAGAATTTTTCGTTTTTTTTTTATTTTATTTCTTTGAAAGTTTTTTCCCCTTAACTCTGTTTTTAATTTTTTTCCCCGACATCCAAATTGGTCTTCTATTACATAAAATTTCTGCGTTCCTCTCTGACAAATCTTTATTTTTGAGACATATTAAATGATTTTCTCTTCTCTTCATTTTCTTTTATAATTAAAGAGCGATAAAGAAGATGAAAATATATAGTTGAAAAGAGGGGACGAGAAAGAAAGCGAGGCAAACCCAATGAAAGTGAATATGCCTGGAACATATTATTTATTTATGTCAATATATATATTATTTGGATAGATGCATGCATTCGTATTATGGATTGATGAGAGTTAGGCTTCTTACACCAAGACTTGTATGTATGTGAACTCGACCATCGACGCTGTCATACCATAATATTCAGCCGATAATGACTGTCTGTTCGTTTCCGAGTATGTCTGAATATGTCTGATAGGGCGGCACATCAAACTCTGTTGCAGATGCTTACTCAGGCAAATTTGTGCTTTGTTCAACACCCACAGAGCTGTGGTTTATACTGCAGCTATTATAACGGTCACGAGTGGTTAGAACGTTCGCTTTCTGACCATGAGACCCAGGTTTCTGACCATGAGACCTGGGTTCTAATCTCACCATGGTCGATTTGTCTTAATATTACCAGTCTGATCACAGCGTGTGGTATCTTTGGAAAGTTCCTGTAGACCACACAACAGATTGACCTAAGTTCCGTGAGTAAAATTGGGTAGACGGAACCCTTGGCGGAGCCGTCAGTGGTTGTGCTAGCACGAAGTCACAAGTCATCGTGACCGAGGGTTTGAGTGTGCTGGCCTTGTTCAGATTGTTGATCACACTAGATAACGTGCTCTCTCCCAGAAACTTAACTAAAGTCCTCTCAGCATAATTGCAGTATAAACCACAGGTAACCTCTGCTGAGCAGGCGTCTGCAACGGGGATTAAGTAGCCGCCCTAGTAGACTGGCATCCTCGGATACGAGTGGCTGTGTCATTTCATTATAAGTGCGGATTTTAGTTACAGCGTGTAACTAAGATCTAAGATTGTTATCTAAAAATTTTTTCTAAAAACGAAGACTATTTTTTCATGAGCAGGTTGAAAAAGTTCAGTACGCTTAAAGCCTCAGTCACGATGATTTCTAACTTTGTACTAGCAGAAACATAGTCGAACAATTCACAAGGCATGGGTAGATCCGTGGTATGGTCTTCAGGTATTTTTCAAAGATGCTG